ATATACCTACACAGTAGGATGAATGGATTGCCGCCTATCAGAAAACAACTACTCTCCTGGCTAATACCACGAACAGCGTTGGATTATATCCGACAGGCGTCAGTGCAGGAATCTTCACAGAAAATTTCCTGCATATGCAATTGGCAATACAACTGAAAGAGTCGACCTTTAATTTTGGAACCAGCACACTTCCGATTTTGGGCTCATCAGTGCAAGATATTGGACATCATCGATATTCATGATATTCCATAATTGAAAATCGGATTTCTTTCAGAGTAATTCATTCCTCTTCCTAAGTTGGAGCGAACAACAAAATGTCACTTCATCTTGTGGACGAGGTACTAACCAACTGTGAAGATTCCTGCACTGACGCCTGTCGGATATAATCCAATACCCTTCGTGGTATCAGCCAGGGGAGTAGTTATTTTCTGATAGGCTTCAGTTCATTCAACCTACTGTGCAGGTATATTCGAGACTGGCTTGAACGTTTCAAGTTCATTTCTTTAGATTTTTTTACTGCCAGTCTTCAATCATAGTCAACTGACTAATCAGAAAATATATAAAATGATTAAAAATATTCTTATCTTTTATAAAATTTCACTATTGAACTTATTTGATGATATCTCCTTATCTCTTGTAATCAAATTTGTCAACATGCGAGTTTCTTTATTTCATTATAATATACCATCACTTTTTCTGTGAATAGCAAAAGCACGTTTTTTCGGTGTTCATTAAGAGGAAATCGTTGAAATCAACTAAACCTTTTTCTCCGTGTATATCGAGGTGGTATACACATCATATTCAAGGTTACGAATTTTGAGTCATCAAACATCAAAGCTTTCGCATCTGTATTTAATCTGTTCTGTGTTTATGTTGACACAGGTAGCCCACCTTTCTAGTTGGTGCGTTGTTATTGGTCGAAGTGTTATTACCTGTTACATTGTGTTGCACTGCTGCCACCTTATCATCTTTGGCCGAATGTATCATTATATTTACTGTCATTTGTATTTGTTCAATCCTTATACTAACTCTGCGAAACCTCAATAGCTTTTTGACCGCTGAAAGACAACTAACAAAAAAAGAAAATAGGAAAATGATAACAAATCTAGTGTGATAGAGATAAAAGAGTTCGACAATCTTCCCACCAACAAGAAGGACAAAATATATGTCTTTCTGTCGAAACTGTCGAACCCAAAAGCCAAGAAGAAGAAAGTAGGTGCGTGAGAAAGAAGATGATCATTCAATAATAAAAAGAGTGCGAGAGAGAAAATTGAGTGATCAGCTGACTTTTAAAATCATTAAAAATTACAAATGTCAAAATACGGTTTAGTGACAGTAAAAGTAGTTTAAAAATATTTTGGGGGCGGATTTTGCTTCATTTTAAATATTAGTCAAATTATTTCGTATGTGTATTATGTGATTCTAAATATGGTGACGAATTAAGCATTTGCTTCTAATCTCAGTGTATGGTCAAGAATTGGTGTCTTCTTCAGTCGCCTAGATAATATCAAACATGTCTCAGAGGATGTTAAATACTATACAACAATGGATCCATCCTAAGGACGATGATAGCAATGTCATCTCAGCAACTTCACATATAATCACCATAACACTAATAAGCATGTCACTCGTTGATCTGACTTGGTTTTCAATCAATGGAAATGCTTGTGTACCTTATCTGACTCTGGGGGAGTTTTTCTGGTTTGGTTGGAATGACGATATTGACTATACCGGTAAGTTTTCCATTCAAATTTCTATGTTTGATTGAACTGTTTTATTATTAGTAAGAATCTCTCACGTTCGGATTTTTATTGACACATATATTGAATATTTTCATAAAGGGTTGTTCTGAAAGAAAAACACACTTATTGATCAGTTGCTTTTTATTACTAACTTTTCGACGATTTTTCTCTTTTTTTTCAGGGCTGTGATAAACAAAATTTCATGATGGTAAATATGCAACAAAAGTTCTCAGATATTCCAAAAGTGAATCACACTAATATAGTTTTCGACTCCAGCTGAATCCGAGATGAATAAATAGTATTGGAACTATTTTTTCCCAAAATTCTTCTCTTGGATATGTATAAATACTATCAAGTAATAATACATATTGTTTGGAATATTTTATTACTTGACTTATTTGGCATATTTGTTTTCATTGAATTAAGTATTGCTCTTATGGCCCTAAATGAAGTGAGAATAATCTCCTAAACTTTTTTAGCGTTCTTTGAACACCACAAGAACAAAATAGAGGTGGAACAAAATATAGAAGGACATTGTACTATATGAAATAAGAAAACATGTCACTTTAAATACACAGCAAATATCTTTTGAATAATCACTTGTAGAAGGGTTGCTCTACTATCACTTATGAAGAAAAATTATATAGAGAAGTCATCAAGTGGTCCTATAAAGTTTGGGTATGACAAAGAAAGTATTAGGTAAAAGGAATAGAAACTTGCAATTTTACATAGTACTGCTCGAATAATCTAACAAACTGATAACAGATTTCTACTTATCCACCGCACATCTTGAGAAAGGGGCTTCTCACCGGCCATGACTCAGTCCAGCAGCTGTACCTATCATCTTTTAATGGATTTCTTGAATTTAATATCAATAATTTGACCAATAAACATCTTTATTATGAATTGAAGGGGTTATATTTTTAGGAGTGATTAATTTTTGGAAAAGAAAGTTTTTGGCTTTCTACTACTCCATCTTGATACAAAAAAAGGGATGAGGGTTTATATGAAAGTAGCTGTTTCAGGAGGACTTTCTTTCAGTTTGTGTCTGAAAGTTACTTCTTTGCATGATCTACACATTCATGTATAGAGTTACTTATTTTCAAATTGATTACTTCCTTCCTTTCTTTGGAAGATTCCCTCATCCCTTTTTTTTTGTATCAAGATGGAGTAGTAGAAAGCCAAAAACTTTATTTTCCATCCTTATTATCATTTTAGACCAATGTCTCCATCCAAACATATAAGCAAGAAAAAAATAATGACACCCTAATTTTTTATTTTCATAACAGGTGATTGGGGAAATATTGACTGTATATTATTGAACTCCAACTGTGAAATCTGTCCAGAGACCTGATATCAATAGGTTGAAAAAACTAAAAGGGTCAAATACAGAAAGAATTTGTGGTGAATGCTATCTGTAAAATAGTACCTGATTATGATCTCGATATATTTGTTTTCATAGTGAAAAAGAACCCCAATGATACATTCAGCATAGTTTGTTAGGCCTCAGGAAGAGGTTGGAGGTCAGTTACTCTAGTTGAATAACATGTTTTAATGAAATTCTCATTTTCATAACTATATATTTTCCTAGTGAAAAACAACACTGATAATACATTTCCTATAGTTAGTCAGAACTCAGGAAGGGGTTGGGGCAGGATACTTAGTAGTAGTAGAAGGAACTTTATTCTTCAAAATAGCATATACATGATATGGAACACGTAAAAGAAATAGAGTTCAAATAACAAAATACCTCATTCACAATATAAATATAAATACATACACATATTTTTATGACAAAAAAGACAATATTAGAAGTTAAAATCCAATTATTTTGGTATAGAGTAAAAGCTACTGTATATTGATTTATGGGTTTCCAGCCACGAATTGGGGGAATTTACCGTTGACGGAAAGGAGTGCGCCAAGCCACCATTGGTCGTTAAAATTCATTGATAGCCATGAAAAGTTGACTTTTCTTTCAGAACAATAATTTCATGGCCAGCCATGGAAATTTTCACATGAAACGAGTTTTCAACGTTTTCAATACCGCCGAATACATTCATTTTATGTGAAAATATTCCCTGCAACCCTAATTTTTCAAAAGATATGATTTTTTAATTTCAAATGATGGAAGGGGTTTAGATACAGTAGAAAACATGGAAATATGTCTGTAATCATCCACAACATCAAAATCACCTTTTTTTAAATAAGAAAAAACTTGAGATTTGAATTAATTCCAAAGCTTTAGAAAGACACCCCCTTGATTGAAAATATTTTGATTATGAGTATTTTGACTGTTCAGTTTTGTAGACTCCTTTGAAAGCAGCCAATTGAGCTGACTAATCTGATATATGATTTTATAGAAAAGATGGTGATTGCAAGCAAAAATTGTTACCAACAATATTGCAGATATAATCAAACTGGTGGGCTAATTAAGTAATATGATTTAGTACATTATAAAAATAAAATAAGGCAAGCAGTTGATATCTGGGCATGTAATTTGCTGAAAAATTTATATTTAAATCAGCATATATCACAAGATGACAGTCATCTTTGCATAAACAAATCAAAATACAATCAAACTCTGATTGATTCGGCCGTTACTTAATGAAGATCTATATTAATTTCATAAACTACACCTTACGATTTGATCTTCACAAACTTCATTTTCAAAAATATATAAAGACATGTTTCGCTATCACAGTAACTTTTTTGTAGTGAATGACATACTGAAAGGTAATTCTATTATTCACTCTAATTTATATATACCACACGTACAGCTCCCGGACTAAGTCATGGCCGGTGAGAAGCCTCTCAGAAACAACTTCAAAAGTTTGACTATTTTGAATATGTTTATGCAATTTACTTTTAAACTCCATCACTAACTGAATACGGTCCTGAATTTGGATGTTTATGGCTCGAATAATCTAACAGACTGATAACAGATTTCTACAATCTACTGCACATCTTGAAGGAGGACCTACTCACCGGCCATGACTCAGTCCGGCAGCTGTAATAAGTGAGAGATACCTATTCAGGTACTTATTTAATCATAATTACCTAGAGCATCTAGGTACTTAACTTTTATATACCTAAGATAAATCCTCAAATTATGATTACCTAGAGCATATTATATCAATTCTACATCAATTACACAATTTCAGTTTCTAATAAAAGGAGCTCAGTTATGGTGATCCATTTAAATCCAATTGGTCATTCAGTAAAATGTTTGCATTTTTAAGTTTAATAATTTCCAATTAGCTTCAAAACTTTATTTTCTATGTGTAAAATTTCGAAATCTCTGTTAAAATATGATTTTCTTCTAAAAGATGATTTGAATATGTTGAACTTGTTTTCTCATTTACATAGCTCATATAATGTTCCTGGATGCGATTCTTAAATGTTCCGCCAGTTTGACCAATTTCTTAGGACAAGTTCCACATGTTAATTTATATACTCCTGATTTCTCGAGTTTGGATGTTTTTTCTTACCTATTCTATATGCAATTTCAATATTCTGTTGTTTGTCCAAAATTTGTTAAAGCTTTATAATTTTGATTTTGATCGACTTTTTTGGAAAGTATTTTGTTTAATAATTCAGCTTTAAATTCGTTGTTCACTGCAATTTGCTTAGTAATGTTGGATTAGTTCTTTATTAAAGTTATCTATTGAAAGAGGAACATTGACTAATCTATGAATCATGCTATTATAAGATGGTATTTTGTGTTGGTACGGATGGGTAGTATCGTAATTTATCTTTACCAACTACCTGTCCTTACTACCTCACCTGTCAATACCACAATAGACATCGAATTAAATCTGACAGCCATCATAGATTCGCTCACATAGGATAGTATTCTAGATGTTTCTTGTTAATCTGGCAGCAGGACACTGCTGTTTTAGTTTGATATTTCCTCCACTGACAAGAGGTAATACCTCGAAACCAGTGATTTACTTGCTTCCTTTTTTAAAATGAATAAGTATAGTACAGTGATTTGAATCTAACATATATCGCCAATTTTGCTCAGGCACCAGATCGTCTGAAGTAGATTTCTGCAATATTTGTGCATCACCATAGAAAATATTTTTTACTACTATCTTAACTTCGGAATTGTATTATTCTTATAATTTACTTTCAATCCACTGTATTGCATGCAAATTACATTCAAACCCCGGGTAATAAAAATAAAGAGAAAACATCCTCTTTTTTCCTATTGAAAAGTACTTGAAATGATGAAACCGGAGCCTAAGGAAGCCTCATTTATCTTTGTTTGTGGATTGAGTTTTTTGTCGATCCCATAAATGGCATCTTCGTAAGGAGAAAGGTCTTTACCTGTACTGAAAATGATCTCTTTATGTAAACTCGGTCCGATCTTGATGTCTTGTACCATTAAAAATTTAGGATAGGAGCTTCTTACGTCCGCACAATTTATCATCATTGCAGTATTCCTACAACCGAGAGTAATTCTTTCAGAGAATTTTTGAAAATTTTTGAACTTATTACTAATATGTTGGTGTGATTAGCGACATGTAAGTAATGAGTGAGGGATATGTAGATAAGGGTTCTTCATCATTAACCTTTTGAAGCACCAGAGTGTCAGGGAAGGGATTGAAGTTCAGGAATAATAATAAAATAAGGATCGTACATCAGTTTAGGGATACATCAGATACACCAGAGTATCTTCCATTGTTTTTGACATTTTTAAAGACAGGACGCTTATGATTCTCATTGTGGAATGCTGATGTAACATAAATGGTTAGTATTAATGTATAATTTTTCATAATAAATTTCTGTGTTTTCTTGGATTGAATAGTGACTCCATGGTTAAGTACCCACCACTAAATACTGCTTATCATCAGTAGACGTCAATGCAACTGTTTCTTGAACTAGCGAATGTACTTGTTGTTTTTCAGTCCCGGTGAGATTTTGCGTCACAGTCTTTGGAATAAAGTTCTCGAGACATTTCACATAATCCTCGAAAATTATTTTAGTTT